TCAATTCTGCTTAATATTATTAAATTGCAATGAAAACTACCTATCCTTCACTTGAAATTCATATAGCGTATCATAAATTTTCTTTACAATAAGGCATTTAACATAATGTATGAAGAAATATGTTCATAATGCTGGCATTTTATTTAACTTCTATATTATAAATGTCTTGACAAATTCATTATTTTAAATACGAAAACTAATGAATTTGATATTATTTTCTTGTTGAGACTAAAAAGAAACAAAAATGGAGCAATAAATAGAAAAAAGTATTATAAAAAAAATTCATACGTCTAAAGTAAATAAATAAAAAATGGAATAAAGGAATAATTTTATTTAACCGAAACATGAGTTTTAAATTTTAAGCAACTGATGCTAACACAGAGCCTGTAACTTAAGAAAATTGAGTTATGGTTAGCTTATTTTGCGGGTACGTCAGTTAAAAGAACCTTAAACAGTTGTAAAACTATTAGTAAGTAAAGGATTCAAAGTATTTTAAAATTCTTACATTTCCTTAACAACACTTCATCCGTCATTTTCAGAAATATTTATTATAATCATTAAAAAATTATACTAATTAAATGTTGTTCTCTTCCTTATCGCTGATTCTTATTTAATAAATTAAATATAAATTAATATTGCGATTTTTCTGTTGCAAAGCAGGATAGACATATGGGTTTCGTTTACAAAATATAACAACCAATTATATTGCTTTAAAAGGGAAACGTGAGTGATAGCGCCTTGATCGGGGTATACGGATTAGAAGCGGTCGAAAGTGATCCGTTATAATTTGGAGAGTGGACAGTAACGGCTGGTACGCAGAGATTACCCCTTCGATAAACAATAGCATTAGTATGCGAGGAGGCTGTGACCGGCGCCGATGAGGCCCGTGCCCGGATTAATTTACCTCCTGGATATTATGTCAGTTTCTGTGTGGAGCATGAGACGATGACAATACTCTATTATAATGTTACACTGTTGTGCTCGCGGAATTACTTAACTCGAGATGGAAATTATAGCGTGTTTCATTGATGATAGTATCTTGTAAGTGGTAAGATTGCTAGGGACCTCAATATTCTATAGATTATTATTATGGATGTTATTGACAATATATAAAATAACGTTCAATGTAAAATAATATGTTTATAAATCAAGCGAAATATAAATGTATAAATATTTGAAACTTACTGTTTCTTTAAGTGCACCGTGGTTTATAAAAAAATCTTCATGGAATTATAATATATATATACATATTTGTATCTATACTAATGCAAATGTTTGTTTGGTTGGATGCGATAATTTTGAGATCCTGGTTTGATGTGTCATAATTATTTTAACGTCAGATGGTCAATTTATAGTACGCTAGGTAGGTTGGTAGGCTAACACAACATCATACTTTAACAAAAAGGAAGCCAATGAAAAATGTAGAACAGCGTTAATTAAATACTTTTAAAACCTTCTCAATAAATTGGGAAAATAGTAACATTTTAAAGGATCTATATTTTTTTATAGAAATCAAATTCTGTTAGAAATAAATTATTTGCAAAAAAAAATTTCCTTACTCCTAATGATTCTATTTCCTTTAGCAGCCGATTCTAAAGTCAACGCGACGATGTCCAATAAAGAAGGTATTTTTAATACATAACAATTTCTTTTTATCCTTTCATCTATCAAGTCTAAGTTTTGCCATATGTATGCCTCAACCAGAAGTAAAAAGTTTTGGGTCCATAGATTGATCCTTTTATAATTTAGTTATGGCTTTTATATTTCTGCTATAATATAAAAAAGTGAGAAAAAAATTATTAAGGTTTTTGTTTTAGTAGCCAGAGTTTTTTTATTTAATTAATGTTTTTTTATTGAGTTTACAATTCCTATTGGTTTTATAAGAATCAATTTAAACACTCCTTTACACAAAATTGTGGAAATGTACTAAGTCTTCTCGAATGTTCCGACAAATACCTAACTGTCTTAGATTTCCGCACAGCTTCCCTCAGCGTTACTTTACTTTCAACTGCTTAAATGCTTATATCTTAGGGGAAGTTTTATACCTTGTGCAATTTACAAAAGCAACTTGTATTACTTAAATCCAACATAAATTGGGTGTCTGTATTTCTTATCTTGCATGTAGTGTTTGTAGCGAATTGCATTAATATTTATAAGAGAATCCCTTTGTACTTCTTTTTAGAGGGTCTTCCTAACTATATACGAATTCAAATTATAAGCAATTAATAATCATTATATTGAACACAATTACCTATTCTTCTCCACTATCGAAGCTTAAGTTGTTATTGATATAGAATTTATATTTTCTATGTAAAAAGTATTAAAATGGATTCATAAGAATATCAATTTCATCTTTAATAACCGGTATAGAGTGCTATCATTTTATAACTTAACAATGAACTTTGAGTCTGTTTGTTCGTATCATATCCGGTTGCAATGGAGTCTCGAACACGCCTTCCGCATTCCCCTCTAAGTAATGACATTGCAATTACACGTATTGCCTTTCATGATAGGAATGGTTTCAATAACATTGTTACGGTTCTATTCATATTTAATTAATCGTGCTAAAATGCCAAACGAACCGGCTGCTCTGTGTTTGTTTACTTCACAAAAAAATATTTGGATTAGTTGCAATGTTTGTGAAATACATAGAATGATTGTGGTCGGAAATTAATATTTAAATGTTATTTCTTGCTATATAATTAAAATTCATTTATTTTTATTTAACTATAGTATGCTAGTTCCAGGCAATACTTTAAAATTGAGTTCTTTTAGAAATTTTGTTTTAATTTGAAAATAAGAAAGAAATTAATTAAGAGTAAATCATCTTTATCTGACATCTTTTTTTTTATAGTGGTTTCCAGTAAAACATGATTAATTTTTTTTATGCTAGTATCGTTTGTAAATGATAAAATGTATGCTGCTAATAAGCTAGAGCTTTAATTTTTAAAGTAGGAAGAAAAGATAGATACGGAATTATATTTTTTAATGTTAGTTTCATTTTTAGAAATTAAAACAAAAAACTATCTCATCAAAAAAGCTAGCAACACTTCTTAAAAAAAATTAAATGTCCCCGTAAATAGGAGCTAAAAACGATTAATTTTGCATTCTGTAGACGATTTAGAAGAAAGCTACGCGTAGTATAATGTGTTCTTTACATCAAAAACACATTTAAAAGAAGTTAGATTGGCTTACGGGAGTTGGCGGGTGGCCATACGTAGTTGGAGCTTTTTCGGCGCCCCAAAGCCAGCCGTAATCTTTGAAGAACCGCCCCAAATTGTTTGTAAGCATTCCGGTCCATCAAAGTATGATGGATAAAAACTTTTTCTACATAAATTTTGATTAAAGCATCAACATTTTATACATATTTTATTTATTTTTTATACAGAATTACAAACGAATCTCAAAACGGTTTTGCAGTCCTTATTCATATACTTGAGGTAAAAATGTTATTGAAGTTTAATTTATAAATTATTTATGAAACTGGAAAAATAAGGTAGAATGAAAAGAGGTTTTATTTAAAACAAGCTTTATTCTCCATAATCTACTTAGTTGTATCATCACGTGTAAACACGGGAGTTCTTAATACGTTACATTTCTTACAATGCACATTGTGAATAATAATTATTACATTCTTTAAAAACACACTCCATTGCTTTGGCTTAAGGATTATATTTACAACAATATCTCTATGCAGCTTTTTCTTAAAACTTAGCAATTTGGCAACATGTCAACTTCAACTTTCACTTATCATAATAGGTATCATAATTGACAGAATAAATTTTGAATTTAAGTGCAAAATGTCACAAAGGTGTTGAAAAGAATGTCTGTTTTTAAATAGGGTACGTAATTAAAACATGAAAAAAGTTGACATAAAATAATTGGCAAAAGAAATGAATGTAATATTTAAAAGCTTTGGAAGATAATCCTAAAATTATCACAGCGTAAATGATTAAATGAGCGGTAAATTATTTTAAAATAAATAATATTCAATAATATTCAGTCTTAATCTATGAATAGAAACGACTATAATGATAGTGCTTCTTACACGTTATTAATAAAATCGATACACGTGCTTTATGACACCTTAGATTCAGGGTTTAGCAGAACATTTCAAACATACATTCACTAGTTTTCATAGAAACATATTATTTAAATTGAACAATAGTTAATTTATTTTAATATATTTTTTCCCTTGAAATAAAGTTACTCATGTTGTCAACAAAGAATCTGCTAAACCGAGACATTATTAAGGAACATTTATACATTACGTAAATATATAGTATATGTAATCAATAACAACATTTTTACATAATATGCTATAATATATATATTTGTTTACAACTTAAGATCCCCTCTCTTCTATGAGATTACAAATTTCCTAATTTATTAAAACTACGTTACCTGTTTCCGAAGAAAAATTTATCTTAATTAAATTAACGTCTCTACCAACGCGACTGTATAGGTAATTTAAAGTCTTGAATTTTATGTTTACAGCCACATAAGCAATATATTTATACCCCATATACTTTGATAGCTAAGCGGTTTGTGCAAAATTATAAAATTTTCTTAAAATAATTTACGCTATATTTTTACCCAGAGGTGCAAAGTGCATAATATTTGTAAAGGTGATGTTGATATAAGTCATAATGATGATGTAATCAGCTATATAAGTGTTAGCAATGTGCTTATTATGAATTGTATCTGGTAATGACATTGGGTGCTATTAAATAAATACATTTATATAAATTGATACAAAGGCTACAAGTAACTTTATTGGATGGTTTCTCCTTCTTGCGGCGTTATCTGAAAATTTCGATTCATTAATTCATATTTGAAATATGTATAAGTTTCAAGATAGAAAATTGACACTAAAATTAACATTTTAGGTAACAATAATGGCAATAATAATTTTGTTTTCAGTTACATGTAACGGTATATTTTTTTAATATGTGTGTCAACATCGTGATGCTGGAAGATTTTTATTCAATTTTCCTTACTCACATCGCCTGGAGGGCTAAATTCGATGGAATATTCGTAGGTTGATAATGGTACATTTTTCTTGCAAAATTTTGTAAAATCTGACATTATATAGCATATTTAGTGAAACAAACATTAAGAGACATTTATAAAGTCACTAAAAATGTTTACCTGTAACTTGTGATGCACCGCCCACCCAGTTGAGATGCGTCTTCCCGCCACCCTCGTCAGACTTTTGCTTCCCCTTATCGATCTCGTTCAAGTTCGATTGATACTTCGTTCCTGATGGAGAGGTACTTCATTGAGTAATAGCTTCTCTTTATTACAACAAAGCAATGCAATAACAACTTATATTAGACTGTAAAAATGTTCAGCAGATGATAATTTCTGATAAAAACATATTATTACATTATGGTTATTGAATCTGTTATCAGGCTATTATACTCCATAAGTTATAATATGAACACTAAGCAATTTTGTAAAAAAAATATTATTTTTTCTATAGGGTCAATCATAAGGAGATATAATACTCATTAGAACAGAAAAAGATTCAATATTAGAAGGGGCAGGCGGTGGGCCACCGACCGTCGGCGAGATATTGAAAAGTTGTCCAATATTGTCGAGTAGCTGCCCCGTCCGTAAATTCGTAATGGAAGCAAAAAATAAAACAGAAACGTCGGTCGATGTCCTATCTGCGTCGCGTCGCCGCCGCAAAAACAACTCGCCGCAAAACTTACAATTGTCTACTTTTAAATGGATTTTTCAAGTTCACGTGCATAAAAAAATTAAATTCGTAACATCAAGACACTTTTATTTCAGAATAAAACGACTATTTCCATTACATTCAATGCATTTATTCTTACAGTCAAGAAATAAAAGTTATTGAAATTTTATTACTTCAATAATAAAAATTAGGTAACGAGAAACATGTTTTTTATTATATAAGAGAATTAGAAATGAAGGAGTCAGAAGAAAAATTATAATAGCTTGTAGCACAAGATGTCGTTTCCTGGCGACTAGTTTCTTACGTCATATGTCCGAGAAAATGTCAAACTCCCCAATAATGTCGGAGACGTAGTAACGACGCTCGTCAAACTTTTGAGACTGATATTACGAGACCATAATAAACTTATATCTGTGGTCAAACTCCCCATTAAATAATAATTACAAATAGATTTTTGTTAAGACTTCTCCGGATTTTATTTGTTTATTATTAGTAACAGTTACATTTGTTTAATAGCACTATTTCAATGTTACGACCAGACAACTACTATCAGTCTGAGAGTTATGTATAAACATATGTAAATTGCTCCATTAAGTGTTTGTTTATAAACGATTTGTATGTTTTATGAGAAACATAATATTTGAAGCCAGTTAACAACTTCACGACAAGCAAACCATCGTAATAGTTTACGATCTATAAACACACATAACGACCACCAATAATAACTGAAACAGCAACAAACAATGAAAATAAACTGAACGATCCCGTGGGATACAAGTCGTAAAGGTATTATTATCTCTTAATAAAGAAAATCGCTGACATAAAAATCTTGTTTGAATGCATTTTACTGGTATCGATATCGAATATTAATGAACTCATTTTGTACCGTAGTTTATTAATATTATAATGTGTTTACAGTGAACACAAATTATACGCTGTATGAAATTTATGAAAAATATATCATATCAAATAAAAATGAAGAGTATCGGTAATTACTGAACATTATTTAATGCATTGATTACAATGCAACTGATTTAAATTCCGGTAAAGGTGTTTTATGTTTGAGGTGTTTTATATAATAAATGTGATAAACTATTATAAAATGTAATAAATACCCTTATCAGTTACTGGCGTATCACGTCGTGGTGGGCGCGATGGAGGTGGAACAGTGATGGCCCTCGGATCTGGTGTCGTAGTTGGTGGGGAAGATGCTAAAAGTATAAAAATTTTTAAAGATTAAAAATATATATAAATACTTTAATTCAATTCTTTTGTTTTTAATAATTTTTGGTTTTCAAACCAGACTTTCATTTACTTCACAACATTTTCATTACATTATCTCGGATGAGAACACGAGATGAAAGAGTTGAATTCAAAAATTTACTTTGAGTGACAAAAAAGTATGCATGTTTTTTGTGAATTATTTATAGGTTGAATTTGTTTTAATAACTTGGTTTTACTTACTGTACAACCGTATTGTACCATCCGACTCTCCTCTAGGATTTTTTGCCACACATTTATATGTTCCGTAATCTTCAGTAACAATATGCCTGATGAGAAGTTTCATATGAGTCTTATAGGGCGGGACTCCTACAGTATTCTCCATATGGTACTTAGGGCTCTCGTGAATCATGTGTCCGTCATCCCGTGTCCAGTAATTTAACGAAGTTGGATGAGCTTCAGTGAAACACTCTAAAGTAACGTTGTAATATAAGGGAGCACCTACTAACTGATGAGGTATCCATAGCATAGGTGGGACTGAAAAATAAATAAATCATTATTATCATGAAATAATTGTAATTAAATATATAATTGAAACGTGACTCACAATCCACGCTAACTTTGACTCTCTTAGAAACGGTTGGCGGCACGCCATTACTAGCAATACATAAGTAGGCACCCATATCTAGTCTTGAAATTCGCGCCATATCCAAAACCTCACCCTCCCATTCGGATACTAAATTAGAAAACATAAAACCATTTTATAATAACCGAGTAACAGTTATACATTTTTGTAAATCAACGTTTCTAACCGGAGTGTCCTTTACTGATGGAGATTTTTGAATTGTCATCTCGTTTCCACTTGATGGTGGGCTTAGGAGAGCCATTAGCGCGACACATCAGAGTGACATTGGCGCCCTCTCGGACGATAACGTCGCTCGAGCTCAACGAGTCGTCGATGGACGGGGGGACTGTAAACACCAATAACTAAGGTGATGAAGCTTTTTAATTGGACCCCAAACGTCACAAGCAATTACACGCGAACTTTTATATAAAATGTAGTATTTTTTATTTATAATTATTCCCAATTAATATTTATAAAATACTATCTTGTTCTGTGCTATTACGATCAGTGAACCCGAACTGCACTTCATGATTCCATCCGTACAGTTTCGAGATCGGGATTGGAATCGGGACCGGAATAAAAGCTAGATTATATGATTTTCCAGGGTTCCATCTATCTCTATGCTAAAATTCATCCAAATCGGTTCAGTGGTTTAGGTGTGTAATGTAGTAGACAGATAGATTGACTTTCGCTTTTATAATGTTAGTAAAGATAAACACCAAACTTTACACTCACCAACGACGTGGAGGTATCCAAATTGTGTTTTAGCGGTAACTGTGTTTATTTGGCACATGTATCGACCTCTGTCTTCCTCCCTTACGTCGGATATGTGGAGGAACCATGTGCGGTGTTTATCGTGGGTGACGCTAACACGAGGGTTGCGGGTTATCACGTGGTTGTGTACCGTCAAAATAGCTGATTGTTCGAAGTGCATCCATGCAACCTACGGAAAAATTGCAATTGATATATTATCAACATAATTTTACATACAAAAAAAATTGTAACTACTGGAAAGTTAACTAAATTATTATGACTTAGAAATTATAAATTATTAATAATATAATTTTACTAACAAAAAAATATATTATGGAAAGTTATTATCACTTAGAAATTGGAGTTTACTATATCAATTCACGAGAATTGGAAATAATATGAATTTTATTTATTTGAATTAAGATAAATGTAAATCGAATTAATGCCATTATTGAAAAGAGAATGACTTCGACTTATCAGTTTATCAGTTTGTCTTGTAAGAAAATGTGACAAGCGTGGAGAATGAAATGCTCAGCTCTGCTTCAATGATTTATAATCGAATCTAAATTGACGAGTGACGTAACGGAAATTAAAGAATCATTCCAGAAAAACGATTTATTTTAGAAATCTAAAGCTATTCATATTTAGAAATTGATCTGGCCGATATCATCTGTCACCTCGACTGAACCTATGTGTTCTTATTCAGTTACACGCGTATATTATCTTCATTTATAGCAAACAATTGTTAATTACAATAATGAGATGGTGTTAACGTTTTAATAATCAAATTCGTTTCCATTTGTTATCTTCAATTCAATGCTGATTTTTAGTAAAGTAATGGAATATGTTTAGTTCTCGTCTCCAATGGGTGATATGCTCTAAAGTAGATACCATATAATATGTTAAAGTTTATATGATAGATGTAAAACTGTTATCTTAATAAACTATATTATTCTATCCGTACATTACTTCGACTCATCAATCATGATTAAGTGTTATGATTTTGAAATATGGCGTAAATAAAAAGTCTCCTTGTTCCAGAAAAAGGCTTTCCAATAATTTTATTGTTATATTTTACACTTATTATTTCGAATGAAACTAATACAATACTTTGCACTGATCAGTTAAAGAGAAGATTTACTGTATCGTTATAAGAACTTTTACTTGTTATTTATAAGACAAATATATATATTGATTTTTTTTTAATTTTCCTTTCCCTTTTCCCACCCTTTCCTGATCTTTCCCTATTCCCTAATCAAGGGTGGTAACACATTCTCAAATCTATGTTGCGGATGTCAATGGGCGACGGTACTATTCAATAAGACCGCCTGCACCGTTGCCCCCTAAAGGGCAAATTCTTTATTTTATATTTTAATATAAAATAAAGAATTAATATAAAATAAAGCATTAAAATAGAACTAACTGAGAAATTTCTATTCTTAATAACACGAAGAAATGCAAGTGTAACTTGTATTTTGACGTTTCTGTGCTGAAAACCCTTCAAATTAAGTAATGATCATTGGTCCGTTAATTCCTTTAAATTAAAAACTAAATTCAGGTGTAATCCTGAATTCCTCACTGACGCGCTGTTATCATTTTTCATTGACGTGTATCCATTTCTATTTAACAACCATAAATAAATTATTTATTCATAATCTAAAAATTAACTGCATTTATTTTAATTCACTAGTGTTTCATGACTTATATTGATGCCAATTTAAATAATCCAGATGAAGTATTTTTTCCTATTCCTACTACTATTAATTTCCTAATATAAAAATTCAGGTTAAATTTGTACTTCCGCACTTTTCTAACAAAAGGGGTCTTAATAAACGAAGATACATACATACGTACAAACAGGAAGTAGGAAAAAAAATAGTGATTTTAAAACTAACAACGTCATATTATTACTTAAAAATAATTGTTTCCTAAACCATAACATATTTTATTCAATAGTTGTTTCATTAATTTCTGAAACAAATAAGTGTGTTTGTAGTAAGCTATGAACAGAAGAGTACCTATAAATAAGATATATTATCACAAGTTGTTTAAATCTACTATTATAGTTTAGGTTAATAAATCATGACAGTTATGTGTATTGTTTACGTCATTAAAAAAAAGATTTTCTTGTTATATCCACCAATTTTTATGTGTCTATAAATAAATATCTAAGTTATTCGTATACTTCCCTACTTTATCAGAGTAATATTGAAAATAATTTATTTCCTTATTAATAGAATACTAATTGTATAAGCTTCATATTTTTTATAGCTAATTAAAGTCTGACTTTATCAAATAGTCTAATAAAGTGTAAACAGGAACCCTAGACTGTGGCTTTGTAGAACAAATGAAACAACATTAATAGCGAGCGAAATTGAACGTTTACGGGTCGCCATTAGACGCGGTACGGGCGTCGCGACATCTGTGTAATTGCAGAACTGCCATCCCATCCCGACCCATCCCGTCCCAGCCCGTCCTATCCCCGCTTCACACCAATTTCCACGACATTAACCGCTCAAAATGCATTTCATTGAGATTGTCATACTGAAAACAATATAGCTACTTTTAATTTTCACTCCGAAACAAATACGTGCATTGGATAAAAAATGTGTATAATTTAATTATATTTTGTTAATATCGAAGCATAAATTTATCATATATCAATACCATAATATTTGAAAATACATTTCAATAGCTTAATTTTTCAGACTAGGTAAAAGTTTTTTAAATTTAACTTTTATTTTATTTAAAGAATTACAACAACTGTGATACTCGTACAATTAAAAGAAAAGTATTTATTTAAAAAATGTTATCTTTTTAGTAAATTGTTGAAAGATTGTTTCTATGTTTAACTCCATTTGCCTTTGATTATGATGATTCAAAAACTTTTTTTTTAATGAAATATACTTGTTTCCGGCTTTAATGAGACATAATATTAAAAGGACATACGGCTAAAAAATTATATAAATGAGATGAAAACCCATGTTCTCTTTGTATGTTATTAACAATTTTCATAAAAAACAAAAATGAAATGAAATGAATAACAACGTATAATTTTACATAGTCATGTAATCATCCCAGTTGTTTTCACCAATTCCTTGCTTTTCGGTTAGTATTTTAAATAATAAGAAAATTGACTAACTGAAACTAAGCCAAACACCTTTAAAACAATGACCATAAAAATTCTTTCAGTTACATCACGCAATAATATTATTCATATATTTATAATCAAGTCTTTGTGTCTATTAAATTAACGGTTAAGTAGGGCTATAACAAGCATTTCTCGATAGCTTTAGTAATAAAAAGTTGCACGTAACCTTTGCATCATTTAATCCAGCTGTAACTTTAAATCATGGATAGTTTTTTATCAAGATTGTGGAAGTAATATAGGGTAAGTTTGTTAGCTAGAACTCGTGCCGGGTCACATCTTACCTATCTTAAGTGATACGGCTCTCAGCCGCTGTCTAATTTATAATGGACTTGAGGAAACTTTGGCCATTTTATTATGCAATGGGATGGTTACCCCTCTAATGATGACGGCATTACTCCATCGCAACCAGCGCTTCCAGGTTATTAAACATAACTAATATAACAAATTATTTCTAATGAAACTTCGAATACTACCAATAAGTGTTGAATTTTATTAATTTTTGTGATGTTTAATTGTAAATCGAACGATTGTTGTACATGTAACGAATCTATTCATGAACATCGTTGATGTAGTTAAAGCGATAGTGTTAAACGCTCATCAAGCTAAACCGGAACAGCGGTGTCTGAAACGAGGGCGCGTCGGCAGCGGGTGTAAATCTGATCTGCGTAATTGTGGCCGGCGTCTAATCTAATCATGGCGATGTCCGTCTGCGACGTCATTGAATTAGGAGCTTCACGCCATTTTCGGTCTTATCGCTACATCAATATTTTGAATTAATTAACCGTCATGATTAATTTGCTTCAGCTGTAGGCGTGTATGCTAATTAAGACATTAAATGCAAATAATATAGAATTGGAAAGTTTCACTTCGCTTATAAAAAAATCATTGTTGTCAGTTAGTTGAAAAAGAAATAGACTTGAGCTGTTGTTCTACGGTACAAAAACTATAATAATTTAATGTTGCTTTATAGTTGAAACAATATAGATTAAAGTCGAGGAAAGTCAAAAATTTACAAGCTTTAAGAGATAAGATTTGAATGTTGAAGTTAGTGGTTCTGTTTTGGACTGAGTTTTTGTCCCGAACAGTCCCTGCCGCGCCAACTTAATTCGTTATTCGGATGATAAAACGTGTTACCAACGTAATGAGATAATTTTTTAACTTAGTCATGTATCGTCAGATATGTATATACTTAAAATTTTATCAAAAATTATACATACTAAAAAGCACGTATCTCAATCTATTTTAAAATCCGAACAGAACAATTCTAAGTATCAATTTTATTACATGAAACGAAACTAACAAAAAATTCAATGTATGTGGAAATGGAATCATAAATGCAAATGGTATATTTGAAATGACGGCCGCAGCTAACTAATTTCATTTTACTGTGGATCCTAAGCGAGTTAGGGACAAGCTCGGCGGAGGCTCCTCGTCCACACTAAATGTAGTTGGTTACGGGTAAATTGATATTCCTACTGAAAAATTTTACTCCGACTAAATGAATTTCAAAATTTTCTCATTTCACTATTTATTAATTTATTTTAAAATGAAAATTTTCAATTATTATCCTATCAACAATAATTTGATATGTATTTAGGATACATTTTAATTTAAATAGGAAAAAAAAATATATCCTACAAAATGATAGAGAGTAAAAAGCGATGACCCGATTATATTGAGCAAAATGTTTCTCATCCAACTTCGACGGCTAAGGAGTTGTGTTATAAGAGCCCTATTAATTCGTTATCTCATAACCTTGAGTTTTGGCCCTTATTTCTTTTTATCTTAATTGTAGAGGCAGTAAAAGGTAAAGTTGAAGTTGTGAGGCTCGTTGGGAGACGCCGGTGTCCCTCAGGATATGCCTGGAAGGCGTCGTTTGATTTATAATGGACTCGTTGCAAACTTTAGCCATTCCACCGCACCGCACCCCGCACGACCGAACCTTCTTAACGACGGACCCCATCGCCGGAGGAGATGATTCGTAGACGTGTTTAATAATATTACGACAGATTTGATTATGAAACGTTTAAGGAGTTTCGTCTTGCTATTATCTTTACTTTCTTCGCTCCGAGGCGTAAGCAGTTTTTGCGAAGATTTAATCACTCTTTATAATCTTAATTTCTTCTAAAACTTATTACCACTTCAGATACTCTTTGTATTAATAGTAAGATAAGCGGGAAAATTAAAAGCAGTAACAACCTCTTATCAACAGGAGGTAAAGAGTTAAATATAAATTTTGAGAAAGGTTCTTCAGTAAACTATCAGTATATGGTAAGCACTTTGTTAAAACACTTAGCTGATTTAAAGAATGTAATGCTTTAAGACTATTTCGTGTTTCACCACGAAAGCTTTCTTTCTTTAACAAATTAGATAAACACAGGGAATAAAAGTTTAAATTTAATAATGAGACTGAAGCCTGACACTTTTACTGCGTATGTTATGAAATATCCAAATTAGATTTTACTTCTAAAATAATAATCTATTGCTGAAGTTATACAAAAATGTAGCTAAGCAAAAGTTAATATTTTTGTAAAACAAAAAGGAAGTGATATGAGAAAAGTGAATGTGGCAAAGCGTTCGCCCACTAAGTAATGCAATCGCGCACACAGAAATAAGTGAACATCTTGCGCGAGACGGCTTAGCTGACTTCTCCTAAAAGCCCACTTAGAGATCTCTTCGACTACGGATTTGTGTCGAGGGTCCTTTAACTTTGCGCCGATCTTCAGCCAATAAGCTATTTTTGGAATTGATGTAAGTAGTGATGTTAGTTTACTTTATAAAATCCTTATCCATTAATACTTGCGAACCGTCCGCCATTAAAAACAAAAACTGATGATATAACTTTTTCGTTTTCGTCGAACAAAAATTTTAATTACAAAAAAAAAAAATAACGGTCTTATACAAAAGAAAGCATTTACTAACCCGTATTCATATTAAAACACGAGAAGTATGTCAGAATTTGAACAGTCGGTGTGCGCATATTGTAGTATAACATAACTGTGACCCGTTGCGGCATGTTATTGCAAACCCACATACGTACGTGCTGCTGCGAGTGCCGACTATCTGACATTTCATGCCGATGAACAGACTACGTGCACATACCTTCAAGCATTCTCTTTAAATAGGAAATACACTTGTTATTTTCGTATGAATATTATATAACATAGCTTAGATTTCGTCCAACAATTGTAGCGTTTAGTTGATATTCCATGTCCCTCTCTCCGATTGGTATTTTTGCTGATCGTAGAAGGAACGTTGATTGACTTACATTATATATAGCCTCTATTTTTTCTATTTGGCTTATGGTACGTGACTTTGACCTTACAAAATACGTATAAATGAGGCAATAATTTTTTTTTTCAATATATTTGTAGACTTTTGAAATCAATATTCGTGCCTAAGCCGTTTTCATTTCATTTGTAGTTAACAGAAGAGAAAAAAAACGTAAGAGCTAGTACGTAAATGGAAATATTTTGTCATTTCATCGCAATATTTCACGTGACTCAATAATTCTAAAAAGACGGACGAAGAGGCAAATCTTTTTAACCGATGCGGAAAACTAATGGCACAGGCGAGGCTTTCGGGAAAATCCGCTTCTTGTTGTCAATACAAGGCCACAGTGATGGCTCCCTCCGTTAAGCCTTTATTTCAAAAGCAGAAGTACACTATCTTTGATTTTATTGTTCTCGTATTTCAGATAGCTCGAGATACCGCCAAAATATATGCGAAACATTATCTCTCGAGCACGTGGACATTATTTTCATAGGGAGGCAAAACTCGTTTACTTTATTTACTATTTCTTCTTTTTACGTAAGAACTAATTTCGTAAGTTTAATTATTCCAAATATCAATGCTATAGATTTCAAATAACCATGTGGATAGCACTATTTTAATAACTTTAAAGTTTACGAGATTTTGTATAAAATTCAATATCCAAACTATAAAGTAATAATAACTACAGGTCATAAAAACATTATCAGTCTGAAATAAACACTAGTTTTGCCATCATTGATAACAATAATTATTATGCAAAAAAGCTTGTAATATTAACAACTTTTTTTGCTAATATACTCAAATATTATTTCTTAAAAAAATATTTGCTTTAATTAAAAAAAAGTTAATGAAATTAAAAACTTTAAGCGACATTTCGTGCATAATTGTTTGCGTGGTCTGTCTGTACCTGTCGCCTACACTATTACGAATAATTACACAATTTTTTGTACACTAAATTTGTTTGTATCTATTATAATAATTGCTTGATGTAGTACTTTTAAGCTAGCAGTACTATAGTCTTGACTGACTAAGATAAATTGATTTAGACTATAATTATGAAATAAGACCTTTTAGCTAACCTTTAAGATTTTATTTATTTATCGAAGTGTTATCATTTTAAAAGTATGTTATAAATTCATAGCATTTTTTATGTATAAAGTAACAAGGTGTGAATGGTGTAAATGCTCTAAATCACCTTTTTCTCTCTTTATATGGACATTTTATTACGACGGCGCGTTCTAAATCAAATGATAAAATGCTACTTATTTTATGTTTCCTTTTGTCGACGACTATTGTCGCCTTGCCGGCTCCTGGTGGCGTCTGTTACCTAAGTGGTTTAATAGCTATACAGTTTTTATACTCTATAGAAAATGAAATAATACACCGTAAAGCGCTATTATTAGTTTTGTATGGTATATAATTTTTATATATGTAGTACTAGAATTGACCCGCGTGTACTTTAGAATGGAGCAGTAAGAAATGTGCATTGTGTTAAAATAATAAATATGGTAACAATTTGGCAGCAACAAGTATAATAAGTGTCACGTGACTTCATAGAATACAACTTTATATAATGTCATGATGCTGCAGAAACTACAAAAAAAATCGGTGATAAACTTTAACATATGTCTTTTTTTTGATTTCTGAAAAGTATATTTGGTGAAAGAGCATCCAGCATCTATACATTTAAATATCCATTCTTTTCACCAACTTTCGCAAGTACTATAGTTTTTAATATGTGCCTAATACCATACTGTACCTTGTAAGAACCAAGATTCTTGACGGAGCAAGCCAATCGCACACTACGGCCGGCAGGAACTGTCACATTTTGGATGACATCAGTGAATTCCGGTTCCTCAACAACTGAAAAAGAAACAATAGCTTGAAAAAAATTACAACCCGGTGTAACACCACTTAAAGATATTGCGTGTTCACAAATGATTTATGCTCACCGTCCCCTAAGGCTTATGAAACTGGTAAGACGTAACAGTTATAGGGACATTTTTGTGTCAAAAGATACGATTTGTAATGTTCAAATTATCAAAGCAGAACGCTTTTAAACAAATTGAGTGGGCGATAAGGAATAATGTCGTCGTTTATCAAGTTGCGAGATAGATGGCTGCTGCTCTACTCTACCCATTTTAAATGCGTTTGTCTTCGACTTTCCAAATTAGCTCTCTTTGTTATTTTTACAAATTCACGCCTGAATTCGTATTAGGGAATGAATTTCAATGTTTACATAACATTAAGTGAGGAAGAGTCATGTAGACATGAAGCTTGTAATTTTTATCGGTTACTGAGTAAACATTTGTCATTCTTTGTGGATAGTATCTGTAAGAGAAGGCGACGAGACGCGGTCGTGGAGTTAGCTCGTCACAAATTCAGTATACAGACGCCGCACCGCACTGTTTGTAGAATAAACTTGCTCAGGGCGATAGTTCACCTTGTTTACGTATCACATCCACGTTCAAACTGTTTTTCTTAATTTTATTTAACATTTTGTCAAGTAACATCATTTTTAAAAGCTGATAAAGTTTTTATTAATATATTAAAGTAGGTAATTTCGAAATATATGTATGTATTATGTAACAAAAAAATTAAACACATTTTTTCATGTTATTAAATAAGATTAGATATAAGAAAGTAAAATAACATTTATAGCGATCGGTCTTCATCGTTGGTGTGGTACAAGTAACAAGTGGTTTGAAAATTAAAAGAAAGTTGTATTATTAAAACATATCATTGCATCAAATGTGTAGAGAGAAACAGAAACTTACAGATAATTGTTTACAGTTGTAAGTAAATCAATCAATTGAACATAATTTTAACCGAGTGACAATTTATTTAAGATACTTCGTACAAACTATGTTACGTGTAGTGCAATCATAATTTCTCACGTTGAACATATGATAAGTATAGTTTTGTATTTCTTTATAAAGTATTGAAAAAAAAATATTTTTTTTTTAAAGGAAAGACTATTAAGTTTTTTCTTTTATTCGCCTTTAAGCTAATCATATCTTTCTTAGAAAATATGTTGACAAAATAAAAAATATAAACCAATCAATAAAAGTAATGATTGTTGTGGGATTAGTATTATAAGCGGTTTATCATAACTGCAACTCAAATATGTTATTAACTCCCCTGGTACATTTGCATTTAATTTATCGTGACATTTCCTTTACAAGCAAATAACATTTTATCAACATAAAAACGATACAGACCTCATCAACCAGTCTATATAATATTTATATTATCGATGGATGCTTTCCTTATTACTCCTTCCGTGTCTAATGAGTGGTGTTATGAATACACACAAGCAATAATACTTGAATTTATCTTGTGCATATATTTACTTGAGATACCTGAGTGAAGATGAAAGCTGTGTAGCGTGTTTGTTCGCCTGATCGTATTAGCTAAGCACGATGCTCCATTTTCTACCCCGTTGCGCTGACTCAACTGATGTAAATCGCGCATTGGCAGACAACGCACCCTATTATCTCTATACTTCCGACGAAGTATGAATGTATTGATTTAATCTTAGCTGTAATATTACACCGGGTCTCTTTAAGTTCATTATGGCATGCCTAATACTTTCGAAGAGTATATCGCATAAACACATACCCTAATCTTGTAATCGGCTTGCTTCTCATATTTCAAAGGATGTGTTTTTCTCTCATTAATTGAGAACATTATTTAATATCTTCCCGCAGATCAAAGTACAATCCAATAAAAGAGAATAATAAATGATATTATTGATAATTTTTAATATCAAACGTTCTTTTTGTTTGCTTATTCTTGACTTGTTTCTTATAATGAATTCTGTCAATACGTTAACGTACGTTAAATAAATGTTGAATAACCTACCGAATATTTACATGCAATTAAGTGAAGACACTCTGAACATCTCACAACCCCAACAATGAGTGTTGTGTGTGAGTAAATTTAAGTTAATGAGAGCGACGAGACGAGAAGTTCTGTTTGTTTCAATAATACCTTATATTAAAATTAACCGAGGTAACGTTAGCAATAATCTTACACACCGCACGGTGGCGCATACAAGGGTATTTAGGGGTTAATTAAGAAACCGCAGACGGTTGAGCGGGGAGGGTAATCCCTTTGTCATCGGGACTGAGACGGAGCTCTCTTACTCGTATCTATAATTATTGCAATTTGAGACATTACATTTGAATATTCTGTAATCTGCTTATGTGTATACGTTTCAAAGTAATTAATAAGCATTATAAATGTTGTCAAATGTTGTTATATCGTTTTTGTCTTGATAACCATGGATATATAAATAACTGGCTACGAATTCGTAACATCAGGCAAACCCAATTGGGACATAATCTGATATTAAATCCGGCCCTTATGCAAATCATAGGCGGTCACTCGGAAGTCATCAAGAGAGTAGAGCGCGGTTCAAACCGACCGCAAATTGACAGCCTCCCCGCCCGCTAAATTGATTGTGGATACGCATACCTCGTTATAATTCCTATGACACAATGATAAATAACGTATCTTTTTTTCAAGAGGGTTTCTGAATACGACGGTCTGATGCTGTCGCCCTAGGGAAAATTTTTATGTTATTGAAAATATCGGATAATTGCTATACATGATTTTTTATTTTACTAAATATCCTAATTGTCCAAAACTTTATTATTAAAATTTTCAATTAGGTATTATTCTTTTATTAAATTGATGTCAAACTCTTTTGCATAGACCATAAAATGATTTGTCACTTTATTTTTCTCCTGCACGTAGAAATGTGCATGCATATCTACTTCTAAATCCAATCAATTAGGATCAGTACTTTTATTACGCAACGCATCCAGTTTTCGTTTAATAAAACGAGCATTGGAAATATTCCAAATTCAACGTTACCTAAGTAATATTCAGTGCTACATTCACGTATTCAGTATATCGTTATTTTTTCAAGTACATGCCCAGCATAAGTACTTACTACCAAGAAAAAAATATAATGAGTATAAATTTGAGTCAAAACGTGTTAACATTATCTATAAAATGATAGTAGAAAAATCTTGAGGTAAATAGACGGATGCAATAGACTCCATTTTCCTGAAGCCGAGCGCCAATTTCGAAAGCCTCAAAGTAAACCGAATGTTTAAGTTTATTTGTCCCTTGGCACAGATGTTGCTTGTAATATTCTCATACACGATCAAATTCTTTTAAGAGATCCGGAGATAAAGAACATGGTGTGGAGTGGGGACCGTTTCGGACTTTCACTTATTTGTATGCCCTACCCTTAGCTGGGACGAACGTGACTATTCGAGATACATAAACCCTGAGTGAATACAGAAAATAGAAATAAAGTAACATATTATCCTTCAGTGGACGCATTGAGACGGAATAACTATTTGTTTTTATTACGACCACAACACAGTTCCAACCTTAAATGAGAATAGTATAATACATATGATGTGACATGAATTGAAAGATGGTCTCATTAATGTCATAAAATTTCATTATTTGGTTTAATGGATAAATAATCTCGTTACTATAGAATCTTTTATATGAAATAATATCATTAAATGTAGTGAATGTGAAGCATTTTAATAAATAACATTTTATAAATACTTAGTTAAGATATGACACACGTCTCCGTAAATGCAGGGTCATGTCATGGTCACTTAGACGGAACTGTGGTAGCAGATGTTGACAAGCCAGGCCGCCCCTATCACCCTACTGTCAAACTCGCTTACAAGAAACGCCCTTTCAATCTCCGCTATTCAAAAGATATGAAGTTTATAAATAAAATCAAAAAATAAATTACTATTATGTCTGGTATAGAAAATTATATAAAATATTTTTTCGAATTCCAATGATACATACGAATAAATATACAAATAAAGTTAAACCATTTACTTTGAATTATAAATAAAGATATGACAACAATTAAGAAATAACGGCAGCATCAAACACATTCAAAAGAGTTGGTGTTTTGCATAATAAGATTTCTTAAGCTGATCACTAATTGAACAAGTGTTTTAGGCTGGCGGGCGCGTAAATCGAGAGATCTAATTAAAGCACCTACCGCGATGCGCCAGACCCCAGTTGGAGCCTATTATAACGCCTCCACCTCCTATTAGCATTGTCTCCTCGAGGGCGATACTTATCTTTATTTAAATTCACTTCTTAGTAATTGGGTTGACGAGTCGACAACGTGATTTGCATTGATGAGAATTGGACAGTATATCCGGACCTTCTAACTTTCAAACCTCGTTAAATTTTATTGCTATTACAAAGTATGAAAGATTTCATAATGAGGATTTAAACAAGATATAAGATTCATTTAAGTATTAAAACTTTGGATGTAAAATATTGAATAAAACATCGCTGGATATATAAAAATGTATGAAGCTAATAATACACCTATGTTCAGTCGCATTACGGACGCAGATTGCAAGTTCACGCGAAGTAGATGTGTTGTAACGTTTCTGATAGCAACTGCGTGTGAGTGCAGTCAAAGAGGAGTCGCTTGGTTATTTCTCATTACGGCATACGCGATAAAATCACACAGAGTCGTTGCCTCATTAAAATCTTCTGGAACGCGCATCTGTAAGCCTTTTGTAGAGGCAGCAACCCGGCACTCTCGACGCCTTTCACGTGTCATTCCGGGTACAATACTAAGGGAGCCTCCGACTACTATTTTTGCAATGACATGCCTGTGCTCTTTTTCTATATTAGCTTATTACGTATTTAAAATTATGCATTTATTTTATAAAATGCAAAGTTAAATTATTATTATCATTATCATGAAAATACTTTAACACTAGTAAAAGTTATGCTTGGAAAAATGTAATGACTGCTGTTAAAATAAAAGAAGTAGGTATATATATTTCAAGTCCTTGTCAGGTATAGATAGAGACTCTTTTATTAAATATTCTTCAATTTTATTTCAGCAAATTATTTGTTATTATTTTTAAGTCTATCAAGCAATTGATACTTTAAGAAACATCGTATTTTAACATTTTAAATTCTAATTTAAACTTTATTTCTTTCTTAAAATTTATAAAACTAAGAATCACATTCAAGCCAATGTTGAACAAATATTGGGACGGAAACTTCGATTGAATCTCTTCTTTGCATTTTAAAAAAGTAAAGTGAACACGATTTCAAGAAGTGTATATGACCTATATATATTTATACATATACTTATGTATACATGTAACAAATGTCACCTGAAATTCAAATTATATTTAAATGCATACATTGGCAAAATTTAGGCGCACACTTAAGCACAACAGGGTAGTTCAATATTTAACGTAGCCCACTTTGCATATTCACAAGGCGGTTGGGCCTGTTACCACTAACCTACCGACTTGAATGGTAATGTCGCCCATTAGCCGTCATGCACCGGGCTTAAAGCTCAACAAAAGTCGCATACCAATTATTCTGTTTAATACCAATTTACCTCAACAATTACACGTTATTAAAGAAAATATCTTGTAAGACCTGAAGAAATATGAACTAAATCCCATTTTAAATATGAGTATTACAAAAATTACTAACAAATATTATCTTAAATATAAAATTCTCGTATCGCGGTGTTAGACAGAGAACTCCTTCGAAATGGCTGGACCGATTTCGATGAAATTTTTTGAGCATATTGAGTATGTGGATCTGAGAATCATCAAACATCTACTTTTCATACCCCTAAGTTGTAAAGGTTGTTCACCCTTAAGGTTTTTTATTTTATTTTCGGACGATATTTTTTTTTATTATTTTATAATGTACCTAGCATTAAAAAATACATACAATACAAAAATTTTACTTTTTTATCACCAACCCCTATTTTTTTATATGGCAAAACAACGTTTGCCAGGTCAGCTAGTAGTACTATAAATTTAATGTATGTCAGTTACTCAGTAAACCTAAAACACTGGAACAATTGAGATGACGTTTTGTATTTGAATAACTTTAATGCTGGAATAAAATTCTACTGGCCACATTTTTATTTCCAGCTGAAGCTTCCGTTACAATGTAATAAGCGTAATGAAGAGATGAGAATATTGTAACATTTAACTTCAAAACTAATTTTTTGCTTTATTATTGTTTAAAATAGGAAAACTAAAATCATCCAAATAAAGTTGTGAATAAGCTCTCGCGTCTAATATTATTTGAGTAAAAAATTTCATTAATTAATAGATAGTCGAAGAGTGTAGAAAAAATCTTTAGATATTGTACAAATTCAATTGAAAAACAAATCTTATTTCTCGTATGCCGTCATAATACATATAAAATTACATACACAGACGAAGACGTAATGGTTTACTATCTTTATTTACTTATTCTTTAGACTGAAACATAAATCTAATTCTTCTTGTTACTCTCTTTGTACTACGTTGTACATATTTCAAGTATCACGTGCAGAGTTAGATAATTATTTTCAAACAATTTGTACAATTAAAATAAGGTTGTAATATATTTTTTGTTAGATATCAATCATAATTCAT